TATTTTTTTGTAAGAATGTATTAATGTGTTTTTTTGTTTTTTTGTTTTAATGTCTTATGTGTGCATACTAAGCTGGGAGTTGCCAAACAATTTCACTATAGTTTCATAATGACTAATAGATGCCTGTAGCTCATAATGATTGTCTGTTCTGTATTAACAGCTGATGGAGGAAGGCAGAGGGTACTGGCAGCAGAGGAGGTGGCATTCTGGGAGGATGGCAGCTATGAGGGGGTGTCAGGATGGACCCCACGTTCCTCCAACCAGGAGCTCAGTGACATCAGGACTATAAGACAGGAAGAGACGTCAGGTCTATGCTACAGGAGAGATGTTGGGCCTGTCCTGAACGCAGCATAATGTTTGATCATGTTTGGATAAAAAAATACTGCTAGATGGTCCAGAAATGGACAAGCATTTATATCTTATTTTGTGTGCAAACAGTAAGATAAAACACCAAAAGTCATGGTAAGAGACTTGAAGCTAACCCTAAATACAGCATTTTGCGTCATAAGCGTTTGTATGTTGGATCATGCTCAGAAAGAAAGCCACCACCACACGGCTCAGAAGTATACAAGCATTTTGTGCTGTAATCTTTTTTTTTTTTTTTTTTTAACTGAAAGATGTTTTTTTTTTTTATTTGTAGATGTGTTTTTTATTTTATACATATGTGGTTTCTTTATTTGTAGATGTGTTTTTATTTTATACATGTGGTTTCTTTATTTGTAGATGTGTTTTTTTATTTTATACATGTGCTTTCTTTATTTGTAGATGTGTTTTATATGAATGTATGTACATATTTATTTTTCAACAAAAATTAAAAATATAAACTTATGCCTTGTGCTTGGTGTATTTTTATTTCTGGGTTTTTTTTTGTTTTGTTTTTTTTATAATTTTATTAGGGAGGGGCTTAACCAGGCCTGTAATTATAAAGGTCTAGTGTGTCCAATAGGGAGATATCTACCAACCAATCACATGTAAGTAATGAATTGTGATGTAATTGTTTTTTCACCCAATGACTGACAATTCACGTGGGTCTCCTGTTGCTATTCACATGTTAATAGTGAAGAGCTGTTAACACCTCCCGCCACCCCTCCTCCCCCCTTCGTAGGATTCCGCATTCGACAGTATTCGACTGCAGCTGGCGAAAACGCGCTACCCCGCCAACTGTCGATTGCTGTCGATATCTGTCGCTCACGAGCTGCGTCCGCGTCAGAATACAGGGTCAAAAATCCCACTTTTCGTCCTGTGCCCGTTTGTGTTTTCAAGGTTTTCTAAAGACAACGATTTGAGGAAGAAATGGGAAGTGTCTTTATGGAAAAAGAGATTCACTGAACAGTGTGGATTAATCTCAGCTGCTGAATCTCAGCTGCTGAATCACTCTTGAGCTAGAACTGGCTGTTATACAACTGAACTGATTTAATGCGCTGATATCTCATTGCACCCAGTTGCCAAACATATAGCACAGAGTGTAACGGGCAACCACTCCAAGATGGCAGCCCCACGTCACATCAGCGACAATAAGCAAGAGCGGATCATGAGGCATCTATTCTTTATTAAGTCTATAATTTGCTACATGTTTTCCTCTTCTCTCTCCTTCCCATTTCCTGTCTACCACTTACAACTGAAGCCTCAAAAACATCATGCACAACTAAAAACATCTACACTATTTTGAAAATGTTAAATGACTCCTCATTGATGCAGTTAAGGATGTGCGTCTTCTCACTCATGTCTATTTTTGAAAGTTTTTCCTTCATATGATGTGGAGGAATTTTAGAGGAGTCATATCAAAGGCACATAGCCTGGGTGTGTGGTGAGTCAACTTGGTCTCTATAGGCAACCATGACAACAGCAGGCAGCACCTATCCGTGGCGGGACAGGAAGTCTTGCAAAGGTCCCGCCACAACAATTTTGCTGGGGTTAGTATTTCCAGTGTTTTCCCATGGGACTTGCAACATCCATGTACACAGATCCACATGGTATGATGCCTTTGATGGTAAGACCATCCATTTGTTGCCTTTGCTGCCTTGCATTGTATTAACTACATACTTCACTGTCCCAGAGCACACACTGGATTTGTTTTAATGGGATCCAGAGTTCCGGCACCACCTATTCTTTATATGTGGGTTGCATGCATGTCCAATGTTAACTGTCATGAAGATCCACTTTATAATGTTTATAATGTTGATTGTCTTTCCTAAGGCTACAGGATGCCTAAGATCAGGACCTAGTGTGGTTGGCGGTTTGTTTTTCATTTCAGTGCTGCCATTGCCGAGCTTAATCTCTCTGGCTTAGACTGCAATTGACATAACACCACCTTTCAATCAGTGTCCCAACCACTGTTTAGCAAGTTTTCTGGGGGAAACTTTGTAAAACCCTAAACAGAGTAAAAAAAAATTAAAAGATGGATCAATGCCTGGATGGACAAATTGTATGCTTAATGATTAAATCAAAAATTAATGCACAACACTGTTTCCAAAACAATAAATCTGTGCTGTGGGCACAGTTTATTTTTAAAGCAGTAACTTGTCTGGCATGTGATATAAATTTTCACAGCCTGGTGTAATCAAAACATAGTTCAGATACGTGGTATTAAGTAATTGCTCACCCACTTTTTGTAACCTTATGTTACATCGTCATCATGTTTGCATGCTCTGGATCTAAAGCCCAGAAAAGGTGTTTCATTTTATATTTGCTGCATGTTCTATTATGCAGGCTAAAAATGTCTGAGTGCGACAAATTAGTGCAATATTTATGCAATAAAAACAAAATGAAAAACACCAAGATTAAACTTTAATATTGTACCATGTTATTAATAAATAAAAAATAATTTCAACAGCTACCAGAAACCAGAAACCCATCACATAGCCAAAGGGATATTGAAGATAAAAAGAATCCCTCCCCTCAAAATCCAACTTAGTGCTCCTCAGATATTTGGGCTTTAATGTCAATTTCTCTGGCTTCCTGCAACTGACTCCACATACCTGATGTATGGCCAGTTTGAAATATTTTGCCTATCTTCTTTGCCTCAACATTGGTTCATAAGGCAAAAACGTCTCACTAAATGTCTCAGAGATTGCAGAGAGTTTCACTACTTTCGTCATATAAGAGTTTGTTTGTCGAAGGTTTGCTCTTCCTCCCCATGGGGCATAGAGGTCTCGTCTTGGTATCATGTCAATACCCAGACAGGACCACTTTTCAGGTTTTTGAGATATGCATTTTATATTCTTGTTATTTTGGGAGCACAATGCAATTTAATGCAGAATAGTACCAGTTACTTGTGGTATTAACAAAAATAATGCCATGTATTTTGTGGATGGTTCAACAGAGTTTCTGTAAATTTATGGTGCTTGCTGAAAAACAATTTGTCTTGGGATATGAATAAAACAGACCACCAGCTCAAAACAATCATTAAAACCATTTTGATTAAAGAATGGAACTATTAATGGCTTCCTATATGTAAAAGATTAACTTGCAAATGTAACAGGTAAGATATTTCACAGCATGCTGTATGGATTTATTAACACCTATTGTGTACTGTAGTTATGTCAGGAATCAATGTTTTGAAACCAAATTTAACCAAATATACCTTCCAAACAAGGAGATGGTGAGGTTGCCCTTATAGGGACAGTCTGCACTTCCAATGTGCAACTCCCCTTTGTCTCCAATCAGAATGTGCTTGGTCCGAAGCAGTATGGCCTGGTTGGTGTCCGCTATCACCAGCTTTCCTACGAGAGAGGCAGTGAAGAACAGTGGTTAAGCCATCTAGCAGCTCTTTCATGCACAAGTGCTTTCATTCACTTTTTGACTCACTTTTTGTGTAGCTACTTTAGTTGACCTATCCAGCAGTACACACAACACAACTGTACCTCTTCTACTTGATAAGTAATCTAATGACTCCAACTCAATGGCAAGATACAACAGAAACATCAGAAGTCATAAGAAAACTAAACCTTCCAAATATGTTTAAAGCAATGTCAAATCTGTATTTTATACTTCTGTTAGGCTATATCTAGTCAGATTAAATAAATAAATAATAAAAATAAGGGACAAGCACAAATCTTTAAACCCTTCACACGGCACTGTGACTTTATTTGCCAGAAAAGATTCCACTCTCTAAAGATGCTTTTGTGGTCAACACTGAATACTTTGTATCATACATCAGTGATTAAATTAAGTCAGAGGTTCCCAAACTGTGGGGCGCGCCCCCTAGGGGGGGCGCCATGCCATTGCAGGGGGTGCGCAGGAAGCCGTCTGGATAAAAAACAAAAAACAAAACATGAACTCTGTATGCGCTGGGTTTTTACCTTAGAATGGCCA